GATAGTGGAAGTGGGGGAGGGGTCCCACCCCGTACCTATGGCGGTTACGCCCATGGAAGGTAGCTATTGAGGACACAAGACTGAGCTGAAGAGATTGAAGCCAACTGATAAAAATGCATGAGTGGGAGAGGGAGGCGCGGGATCAGATGGATAAGCGCTTTAGACAGAAGAAAATATGAATGAGTTAAGGGTGAGTACGTCTTACCCTAGGTACGCCCCTGGACGGGCATTTGCCAGAGTGAGCGCTGAGGGGAGGAGCTGCCAGGCAGGTAGAGAGGTAGACGGGGCCGAGTTGTGGCGCTTTAGGCCATCCATAGCGAGTAAAAGAGGAAGTGGCCGTGGCAGAGCTGGGATTGCCAATTGCTGCATGCATTGAAGCGAGCGTTGATGTGGAGCGTTGAAGTGAACACATTGCGGCAACGGGCGAGTTGGAGAGGCGCAGGATGACACTGGACAGGTGGAGTGAAGCAGGTAGCGGAACCACCGGAGGAGCGCTTGGTTTGGGGAGCCGGAGCTGCTGGAGCGGCTGCAGCCGGCAAAGGGTCTTGGACGAAGGCGGAGCGGGACCAGGAGGGCGATTGAAAACAAATGAGCAGACGCTGGCCTGCCTCTGCAACGTTTTGGAAAGYGAGTAAACCTGACGGTCAGCTGACACGCAGACGTGATCAGGTGGCTGGCTTTTCTTTAGTGGCAAACAGGAGCTGATTGGACGTAGCTGGGTTTGCGACAACCGGACACAGCTGAGCTTGAGATGAGGAGGTCTGCAGGAGCAGGTAAGGTCACCAGTCTTCCAAGTTGAATTTACTTTTAAACTCCATAAGAAAGATCAATTTATCAAGCACAATTCATAAAATAGTGAAACAACTACTTATATAAGTGAGGAAATATAATAAAAGAATGCAAAATGTTAGCATAATATTTTGCCATTTCTTGTCATAACCCATCATGAGAACTTTTCACCCCCTCAACACAAGAAATTACTGTGTGATTTGTTGGACGTTTGTGGGAATATTTATTTAAGTTTGGACGTTGCATTTAGATTAAACTACTCACTTCCAGAATTTGACTGTTTTACCCATGAGCAGAAATTTATAAAGAGAGTTAAATGGTGAAAAAAATCACAAATGGAGATAAAGCAGACTTTGTGCRTAGAGGAATCTCTCTGCCAAAATCTGTGGTGATAGATTTGTGTACAAAATAATAGCAGATATCAGAGTTTGTGTTTTTTTTCCTGAAGTGTAGGTGCCAGCAGGAAGAAACATTGTGCAGTGATGTGTACTGCACCAGGAGGGGTTTCCCAGGAGCTCAGCACAGTGTGTCTCAAGGGCTATGAAAGGTGTGTATGGAAAAAAAAACATTGAACAGTCACATGACCATGCGTTAACTGTTCGGCTTCAATTTGATTATAATTAGCGGCCACTGAGTACAACACACAACTTGATCCAATACAGCATACCAGACAAACTCTTTAATTTAGGACATCACCCTCACAGATACCTTTGCTGATGTCGGCTGGGATGCTGCTGATTTCTTTGTTGACCATCTTCTGGTGCAGCTGCTTGATGTTGAACGGTTCCACGGTGAAGGGCAGAGTCCCAGTCAACATGGCAAACATGCTCACACCTCTACAGACACACAAACTGTGAGATCCATGAAGAAATGCAAAGTTTTGACAGTTCACCTGAAAGAACAAGGCTTTTGCACATACATGGACCAGATGTCCACTTTGGGCCCGTACTTCTTGTGAGCCAGCAGCTCCGGGGCAGCATAGGCAGGACTTCCACACTGAGTGCTGAGGAGCTCCGGGGACAAAGAGTCGGTCTTTAGGGTGTTACTCAGGCCAAAGTCTGTGAGAAGTACCATCATTTTTTTAAAAGCAAGTTCTCATTATTGCACTCTGTGACACAATAGACCAAATAGTTCCAACTTTTGGTATTAATATCAGTTTAAAGTCAACACACCGACAATCTTTATGTTGTTATGTTCGTCCAGGAGGAAGTTCTCAATCTTTAAATCTCTACAAAAAAGAAGAGACACAGGGATTATTACGCAAAATGACCATTTCTAGGGTTTTTGGGATACTACAAAACATCTTTCAGTCCATTATGGTTTAGAAACACATGCAATGTATGTTTAGTCTGACTCAGATTTCTGTGTGTATTTTAATGGATAAAATGGTGAGACTTGGGGATGTATAAAACCACTAAACTAAATTTGGGTTTGGTAAGAGCTCAAGTTTTAAAAATCACTGCTGACTGAAACTTTGGTAATTTGAGGGATAAGTTTGTCCAAAACCAACCAGCYACTTTAAAAACCTCCAACCATCAAGAATTTTAGGTCAAGTTGACCCACTACTATTCTTATGTTCCCATCAATTGGTCTTTACTGAAGCACATTTTCTGCATTTACCTGAAAAACATGTAATACTCATCACAATGCCAGCTTTTAAACTACTAGTTGAATGAAAATATCCAGTTCAGAGAGAGAGAGCCCCTATAAACGGCAGCCTGGGAATCTGCCACGTTCATCTGGTTTCATCTAACCAGCAAACGTAAAAATCTACAGAACATTAAACAGCCAGGGAAGTTCAAAAGAGAAACAAAAAAAAAGGTAGAGAAAATCGCCCAGAAGGATGAGGAGTTTTCATAAATGCAGCAAACCTATTGAATGTGGGTGGCAGGAAATGTGTTTAAGTGCAATTTTTCCATTTATTTGCAGTTTAATCGTGGATGGTGGACTATGTGTGTGTGGGAAAGTACAACACAAAGAGGTGTTGTCTAGGAGCTGAAAGCTGTGTCGTTGAGGGACTTCATTAGAGAGGAAGTCCATGATGTTGTGATGATGTGTGAACCATGGCGCCGGCACAGAATGATGAGGTCATTGCCTGGTAATCACATTCCCACCTTCAGACGCGCCAAGGTTTTTAACCAAAGCTCTGTGCAGACTGAGATTGTGTGTATCTGTGAGTGTGTGTGTGTGAGTGTGTGTGTGTGTGTGTGTGTGTGT